CTGTCTAGCCTCTCTTCCCCAACCCCTCTCTCTCTCTCTCTCATAGTCCATCTTGTCTAAGATTGGTAGCTTTGAGATAGGGGAGAAAGATGCACCAGTAAGGCATGGATTTCAGGCTCTAGCTTTCGTTGGAATGCTCTTATAGATATGTATTCAAGATGTGGGTCACTAAAGAAAGCAAAGGAAGATCTTGCAAAGGAAGATCTTCGTTATTATGCCTCAAAGGGACTTGGTTTCTTAGAATTCCATGATAACTTGGTATGGCCCGCATGGGTTTGCATGGATGTTGTTAACCTCTTTCACCATTTTAGAGTTTTTTAGGGTTTTAGGACTTTGCCCAAACCACTGCATATTCACTAATTGGCTTCCAGCTTGTAGCCATGATGGTTTAATAGATGAGGGTCGCCAGTTTTTTGATATGATGAGATTGGATTATGCCATTGAACCGGCTATTAAACAATATGCTTGCATGATTGATCTCTAAGCACCCTCAGACCAATTTTTTGAGACAATGGAATTCATATCTAGAATGCCCATGCAGCCCACTTCTTTAAATGTCTTTTTGGACATATGTTTTGGGGGCCTGTAGAATCCATGGAAACATTGAGCGTGCCCAAAAAGCAGCGGATTATCTTTTGAGCTTAAGCCTGAAAATTCAGTTAGAAAAGCACTTTTGGCTAATATATTCAGTTGGTCGATGGGAAAATGCAGCACAGATAAGGTCTTTAATGAAGGAATAATGTGTTGGAAATTTACGGAAATGTTGATATAATAATTTGATCGAAAAATAACAAAGAATGTAATAGGGGTGAAGAGGAAGTAGTATCAATTAAAAAATATTTCATTATTGCATTTCAACTACGAATAATAACAAAGGTTACCATGATATAGTGAGGTGAGGTCTTGAAGACCACACTTTCTTTTCGCTCGGCAATCTCTTTCTTCTCACGATGTTCTTAAACCCAAGATATGCATGCCTATAAGGCTATTGAACCGCCATGTTACACGCTTTTGTTTTATCGCCATGCTAGACAAATTAAGATAAGATAGCGGTGGAAAAGACAAATTAATATTTTAATAGAAGAAGCCCCATCGTTGTAGTTGGAATATGTGGGAAAAGATGAGAGAGAATACAACATTTATTAGCATAAGAAGAAGAGGGCCATTGTCTTTGGGCTAATCATCACCTCTTGTGGAACTCCAATAAGAACTATAAAAAATTTTGAGGGTTTGCAATGACTGCAACTAAGTTTATATTCAAGGCTTAAGGGAGAAAAATCATAATTGTTTACATTCAAGGCTGAAGGGAGAAAAATCATAATAAATATGGGGGGTTGGGGTTGGGGTTGGGGTTGGGGGGGGGGGAGGGGCGGGGGCGCGGGAGGGGAAGAGAGAGAGCTGGGAGTCAAAAGAAAGAGAGGGACTAGGGGCGGGGGAAGAGAGTGAGCTTGGAGTCGGAGAAAGAGAGGGACTAGGAGAGAGAGAAACAAAGGTTGGAGTTGAAGAAAAAGTGGGACTATATGAGAGAAGAAAATCATAAAAAGAGAGAGTCACTGTCGTGTTATTGAATATTGTTTGGGACATAAATATATCATGGTTCAAATGGGTGTAGGGGATAAGAAGATCGCTTTTTGAAAAAGTTTTTTGAAAAAATTAATGGCGCTTGATATATTTTAATTTTGTGGGCCTATTAGAAAAGGGTGCGGTTTGTATAGAGCCTAAGCTCTAAACAATCAAATTAGAACCTACTTCTAAATAGCGTCAAGAAATGTGGTTTCAATGTTGGAAATCTTTGTGATAGCTTTAAAATATATTTTCATATATATTTATGAAGTTCATCACTTCAAAAATAGTGTAGATCGAAATATCTATCATATCTTGAAAATTGACGGTCCAAAAATGCGTTATAAAATACACTATTTTCAAAACTTGCAATCTACTTTTTTCACATGTCCATGCATCTTGATGTCGAGATGATCATTTGAAGATATTTGGGCATCAAAACAACCTCTTCTAATGAAATTTTTGAGTAGGCTCAAATTTGATTGTTTAGAGCCTCGGCTCTATGTAAACTTTTCTCATTAGAAAATGACACACCAAATTAGAGATGTACATATATATTTTTCCTTTTTTTATCTATTTATTGTCTTATATTTAGGGCTAATATTGTCATCATTATTACTTCATTTTGAGAAAAACATCTTTCAAACTATCAAACCACCTCAAATTTTCAATATTGGGGTAGTTAGGTCAACCAAGTAATCAACAAGTGCTTAGCTTTAAAAAAGAGAGTTTCAATGAAATACATTTTCATATATTTTGTTGAAAATACCCAAAATGCTTTTAATTCGAGTATAGATTTATAAACAAGCAAAAGCACACATTTTGTGTTTGGAACTCAAAACAAGTAATGATAGATTAATCATTTGTCTTATGCCGCTTAAGTTGAACCAAATGACGTAAATGTCTATGATTTTTCTGTGCTCCAAACTCGGAACTAGAGATTCTAACGAGAAACATGTTATGGGCTTTAAAAACATAATCAAACGTATTCATATCATTTGACTTGCACCACTCGTAAGGGAAAAATTACCAAGATACCCCTATTTGGTTTGGATTTCATATTCAAATAAAAAAAATTTAAATATTTTTTTATAAAACTTACAAAAATAACCAATTTCTTAATTAATTGGCTTATTTGACGAGCATGCAACTTTTTGGAGTTTAAGGTGGTTTGATATTTTTCCCATTTTATATTGCAACTCAAAACATGCAGTAATGCCTAGGAGAACCTTTTGTTGGAGGGGCCCACGTCTAACGTCAGCTCCGGATTACCGGAATTGGTAAAACAACTTTGAAGTGGCATGCAAAATCGTGGGCTGCAATACAAGTCCCTCACAATCTTGGGTGAGGTTTGTATAAGGTATCAACTTTATACTATTGAAGTAAGGTGGCTAAAAATGTACTTTTGGTGCCGCAAAGCCTTGTAATAATAATAAAATATATTTTTTTCCCCTCAATTATGAAATTTAAAGTTTCAGAATAGTTACCAACAAGTAGATCCATAAGCTCTCGAAAAACTTGGAAATAGATAGTCCAGATAATGTGTTAAAAGATAAGCAATTTTTAGGACTAAAAATCCCTTTTTTTTATGTCTATGAATCTTGAAGTTGCCATGACCGATTTGAGCGCTTTTTAGCATAAAAACAACCTTCTCTAGTGGGTTTTTTAGGTGCACCTTACTTATACAATATAAGGTTGACACCTTATATCAACTTTTTCCATCTTTACAAGGATTAGGCATAAAGTGGATTGAATTATCTCGCGGATCGAATTATTAACCTTCATCCACCTCGACATTGATTTGCCTAGAAAGAAGTATAACATTTTAAATATTCAGACAAAAGTAACTTTAGCATTTCAAATATACAATCAATTAATCATTTCAAATATACAATCAATTAATCATTTCCAATACACAATCAATAGGATTTCAATTTCTTTTCTTGAATGTTGAATTGATCCAATAATTGGCGGTCGATTTCGTTTGCTTCCAAATTTTCTCATCTAATTTCCGGAAAGGTCACACTATGGAAAAATTAGTATGATATATGCAAAGTTGCAATCACAATGATGAACATGTGGTTTATCACTGCCCATCAATGGATTGAACGAGGATGATGGAGGGACAGTATGGGCGTGCAATGCATCTAACCGTAAAACTCGTTGATGATACGGTGATAACCTCATGAGCACTATACGATGAACATGTGGTTTATCACCGCTCATCAATGGATTGAACAAGCATGATGGAGGGACAGTATGGGTGTGCAATGCATCCAACGATCGAACCCATTGATGATACGTTACGATCTCATGAGCACCATACGGGCCTCAACTCTTGGCAAAAGCACAGCTACCTTTTTCCAACAGACCTCATCCGGCGACCAAAAATAAATTTATTTTTATTTATTTATTTATATTTTATAAATGATATTAAGTTGCAATTGGGGTTTTAGATTTTTTTATAAGTAGAATTGAATAAAAATAAATATTGATCAAAATAAATTTCAAGGTACTTCTATATTTTTTTATTTAATATATTTTAATTATTTTTATTGTATTATCTTTATAAAATAAACCTACACCTTAAAATTTAGATAAATAATTTATTTAAATAAACAATTTTTTGACCGTTAGACTGAGCTCTCCTCCATGATCTCAGCCATTGTGCACCCTACTTTTACATTTCAAAAACTCGGCGATTCATGCTTTGCAGTTTGTATAAAGTCGTTGGACTACTTCTACACGACCGCGGGTGTACGTCCTACGTGTGAACGAAAAGAGCTCCTTTCTGCGGGTCAAATTTGTCCAACGGCGACGGCACCAACAATACCCTCTTAAAGAGATACAAAACGAACAGGAATTGCTCTGCAACTTGTGTACAAGTCTTAGAGAGAGAAAGAGGAGAGGGTCGATTGGGTCTTCAATGGAGACGGTGTTGGAGGATGAAGTGCAGAAAAGTGATCCTCTCTTCTCTCATCCCTGTAGTGCGAGGGCCGGAGCTAGAGAGAGAAACAGGAGAGAGAAGGAGGGGGAGAGATGTATTGATATGCATAGATCACAGCCCGAACAGCAAGCACGCTTTCGATTGGGCCATCGTTCACTTTTGCAGGCTCGCCGACACTCTCCACTTGTTCCATGTTGTTTCAAGTTAGTTCTCCTTCTTTCTCTATTACCTCAAAAGTTTTGATTACCTTTTCAAGTTTTTACTGATAAAAACTCGAAAGAAAGGGATTATAGTTAGAGAAATGATAGAAATCTCCCTCCCCATTTTTGGTATTTTTGAGATATGATATTTTTTATTTTAATTTTAATTTTTTTGGTGATTTTCCTGAACTTTCAGGTGTAAATAACGAGGCAGTGTATGAAGCAACGCAGGCTTTGATGGAGAAACTCGCTTGAGAAGCCTTCCAGGTGGCCATGGTGAGTGTACCAACTCTTAGAGCCGCGCAGTTATCCTTGATGTGATATTACACCAAATAGAAGCCCTCACAGTCCATGGTTGAGAATCTAGGGTGGACAACTATGTGTAACATAACGATAAATTTACAATATGTAGCATGGTAAACCTTCCCTTTATTTTTACGATATTTACCTGTTTTTTTATTTTACCCTTAAAAAATTTACTAAAAAATCATGTTCAGTTTCAAACTTTGAAAATGAGTGCGTAATAGTTTACATCTACTCCCTCTACTTTGGAGGAATTTTTCAATCTGAAATTTTGGGAACCATCACTAAATGTTTATTCTCAAAAGAAAATTTTGAGATTTTTCTATCACTTTGATCTTACCCTATAAAATTGGACAGTCTCTATTAAATTATTAAAATGCATAGAGGGTGTAATTAGCAGTAGTTTTTTATTGAGGTTAATCCATGGGTATAAGAGGTTTCATGGTCCTCAAATTAATCATACATGAGGTTTTATTCGAAGGAGACATGGACAGTAAACTCATGTGGAAGAGTAATATCTTTCCGTTTTAAATATGAGCATACAACATGATCTTGGGCAAAAGAGTCCCTTGGGAAGATTTTATTTATCTGGAATTTTGGGATCCAAATATCTTCAAATGATTATTTTCAAGAAAAAAAGCAAAAAAGATTTGTAATTCTTGAGAACCTAGATCTTGCCCTCCCAAATTGGATGGTTCTTGTCCAATCTCAGGACGTCGATTTTTTGAAGCAGATGGAGAATCCTTTTTTCTATTTTATTTTGAGCTTGGTTATTGGGTGGTTGTATAGGCTACATCCCGAAATTCTGAGGTCCAAAAAATATGTGTAACATGAATTTTACCCTTGGGAGCAAATGCACATTATGTTCCTATATGAGCACCAGCTCTTTTCACATTTCCTATTTGAGTAAGCTTTCTATGTGCCGTTAGGTATAAGATGCTGAGATGGCTGCAATCACAATTTCACCCCTAAACACTATTTTTTATTTTAAATTTTTCTACCAATCATATTGACATCAAATTTCACTATTTTTTATTTTAAATTTTTCTACCAATCATATTGACATCAAATTTGGGACGTCCCATTCTCATAGGATCACACCTACAAAAAATATATATATATATAAAGAAAAATCCCTAAAAAAATTAAAATGACAGATACCACTGAAAGTTTTAGGGGTAAATTTGGTTATTTTATATTTTTGAAAATAGCTTTTCATATTTTTTTAGATGCACTCTTTTGAGATGATAACATGTACACAATTTCATGTTCATGTAATTTATAGAAAAATTAAAAATAAAAGACTCTGAGACGTCACATCTATATTAAAGGGTGCACTTGTGATATTATGACTAAAGCTATCCTAGCCATTCAAGGATGTACTTGTGATATTATGACTAAAGCTATCCTAGCCATCCATTCAGATCGGATGGTTGAGAGATAGTGACATGTATGAATCCTTTATGCCTAGTAGCATATAAAACGCTTTTCCTCATTACCCTCAAGTTGTACTATTTGAAAGGATATA